CCCCACATGTGACTTTTTGTTGTCTAAATTTTGGGGTAACAGTATATATCTTCTAACCTGTCTATCTCGTCAATTACACAGTTAAAACTGTTAAAACCGTTCTGGATTTAACTACAGTTTGCAGTGTTCGGTAAGCGATCATCTATCAACAAATACGGTTTGATCTGAAAACCAATGCGAATCACTAATAGTATTGTTAAGGCCGAATGTCAGTCGCGACACTAATGTGCAGTACTGTTAGGGGCCCGTAACCCAACACAAGAAATTAGAACACAAGACAAAGCGTGCTGGTTGACAATTTAATGGCTGATCACGGGAAGACGTCAATCGACTAAACGATGACCTAAAACTAGGTCAACCTGGCCTGGGAGGATATTGGTCAGTGTCTGTCAAGAGCTACTGAATCACGTGATTGGACGACTAATGGGAACTGATGGACGAATGCGTATGTAGAAAGTATTATTATATTTACTATTGTGATAATTCCTGTCTTATGATGCAAAATTTAGTCTTTCTCGCGTAGGATTGCACGGATTTGTAACACCTTTTCTCGCGCCTATAATCATAGATGCGACACTCGATATTTACTGCAAAATGACTGTACCGTCATATGCAATATATTCATTCCCATATTGATTTTTCTACGTCCATTTAATCGTGTTTTGACTGAAAGCAGAATATTTTGTTATCTATGTTCAGCTTCAAAAAGTACAAAAGAATCTCGAGGGCACAGAACGCGATCTTCGTGGATGTATTGCACAAACGAAACAATTGCGTCAGAATATAAAAGATCTATCTGACAGGTAATTTGCCACATTCGCCAGCCGTAGCGCGTCACGAGAACTTCGTTCATGGTTTACGTTCAAATCGAAATAATTTTTGGATTGTTTTATGTGTCTACCATTCCGAATAACCGTGATAAATTGTTTTCTCGAATCCACTCCCCGAGCTGCAAATGAGATTTACATTGCATAATTGTGTTAAATTACCAGAAAACATCAATGTTTTATTTGGGACGTTTTAGTGTAATAGTAGTTCTATCCTGTTCCCAGTATCAGTATTTATTAACGTGTCGTCGTGCAGTGATGGATGTCATTTAGTTGAGTAGTCATTTCTTGAGCCGCATGATTGAGCGTCAATATTTAGCCGATAAAAATCGGCTAAAAATCCCCTAGCACTCTTTTAAAGGACAAACCAATGTTTTAGCACAACACATTTTCAAACGTTTGAGGTTTATTTTACATCAATTAGCTTTAGAGAGAATAATCTGTGTAAGGAGACAATGAGATAGTGTGACTATTGACAATTTTCATTGTCCGTAGAAGAGTGGAAACCTCTGACAGTTTACAAAAAGTCTTCGATGAAAAGAGGAAGCATAGTTCATTGAGGTATAAAACCTTACGCAGCGAGATAGTGAACAAATGAGATTGGTGAACATCACATTCCCGTGTCGGCATTACGCTCGAATCCTGCCACTGCCTCCTGGTTTTCCCTTTTTTGTAACCCTGTAACTGGCCGCTTCCGCTTTCGCCACATTGTTCATAAGATTGTGTAATTCACAAATAGGAGATAAAGAAATAAAAGTGCATCTGAGTGAGGTGGGGTAAAAAAGAAAAAGGTCATCACAAGGCACACTGACAAGATCTATCTAATGGAAACGGTGGTTGGATGGTCACTGAGGAAGCGTCATATAAATATAATGAAGCATTGGAAAAAATCAAACACAGTATATCGCCGATAGTCAGTCATGTACGGCCAGACGCTTCCTGCAAATTGAAGGAAACCATTAGCCAGGTTGAGAGAGGACTAAATTAGAAGCGGTTATGTTCACAGTTTGTCTATGTGTCTATGACCATATAACCAATATGGTCGGTCGTTGATGAGTTCCAATCTCTCCTCGTTTCCATGAAATTACCCCAAGATCAACCATTTCATGACCGAAAATACTTTGTTTTTGTTTCTTTGAAATATTCCTCTGAAGTGGTTTGGTAGACCTATTTTTCATGCTAAGTCAACACATGATTCATCAGTAAAAGCCCAAATAAGCACTGTGAGGTTGTTTCATCAAACTTTTTAGGAAGCATCAGTCTTTTTGTTGCTTTTAAGGTGTAGTTAAATGTATAGTTTGAATAACAGAAAGTTATGAGAAGCACATCAGTGGGATTGGTGCGGGCTCAAAACTGGTCGACTGATTCTTTAATAAAACCCTGAATGGGGTTTGTTGGAAGTTAGGACATATATACAACCAAAATGATATCATCTTTCCGTAGGGCCTCAGGAAGAAATTCGATGGAGATCAGCTGGCGAGAACCAATGAAAACTCAGCACATGTGTTGTTTCGCGTGATATCCGATGGCATTTTAATGCACCAAGTGCTAGCGATCACAAACACGTCCGTCAGGGAAAGTTTTGTTCGACATTTGGGAGTAGCAATAATCATTTGATAACCCTATTGGTGCAATATTCTTCTAGGTAACCGAACGCTCCCACTGCTATCTCCAGATAGTTCAAATTGTTGTTTGGTAAATTTGAAGTTTGTATGTCGATTGTGAACAGTTCAGTAGCCTCGGTGGGTTCGAATCCCACAGAGGCTACTGAACTTTTCACAATCGGTATACAAATATCTCCAGATAGTTGGGATGCGCATACAACATCAATCAAAATAACGCATTATACAGTTCATATATTACCTTCGGACCTATCATTTCTCACCAAAATCTCCCTTAACAGACTTGAAGATGAAGCAAAACGAAACAGTGCATCTGAACAGATGCTCGCCACCGTGACCAGTCGTCGCATGAACGATGAGCAGTTGATGAAATTGGGCGAGGAAAAGTTGAACAATGACGAAAAGTGTTACAAACAAGCTCAGGGTTATCATCAACAACTCACAGTGGACTATCTAAAAGTGCGAGAGGTCAGTGAAATTCACATTGTTCCCGTACGAATATCATCTCTGACTCAATAATTGTTCGAATAGAACAACCTAAAATCCTGCTAAATTTCTCTGTCTGTGTTACTGAAATTTGTAAAGAAAACCTATCAATAAGTATTGAATTTTTTGCACATGTTTCGTATCCCCCGATGATTGTACATTACAGATTTTCCAATCCGGTTAGCAAATTAGGGTTTTTCAGTTAATTACTTGCAGTATATCGTCGCATAGAAATCTTATACACTGAAGCTAACCAACTGTGATTTTGATGAATCACAAGAAAAAGTATGGGGTCTGACTGTAAATCATCGTGGTCACACGTTGGTCTCATCGAGAAATAAGGTGCACCACACGTTTGAAAAGAAGTCGTAAGTGAACTGCTAACCTTTTAACACGAGCCACTGCACCAACCGGGGAACGATGTACTCAGTGGTCCTTTTCACGTGACCCATTGAATGTGATTCAAGTCCCAAAATGTAGCGTAGCCTCTGGTGCACTGTTTTCAAAAGGGGTCACCAGTTTGTGGAAACTGAAAGAAACTGAGATATCTCTTGCTGATTGGAGTAAGCACATCGTGGTTCCCAGGTTTTAAAAAATTCACTCGTCGCCTGGGGTAATTACAGAGGAATCAGCTGAATTCCAGTTTGCATCAAAATATCTGATGTCAATCCTTCTAATTTGATGGTCGCGTGTAAATGCCTATTTGAACATTTCTGGGGAGAGGTAGCTGTAGGGCAGCCAAAAAATCAGTCTTGAACTCAAAGGTCGGGTATACCGTATGCACTTCCCGCTGCCTTGCGGGTCAGACTTTTGAGTCAAAGGCTCCGGTTAGGGTTCCCGAAGAAAAACCCCTTCATCGGTGTGGGCTACCGCGAAGTATGTCGTGCCTTAAAGTCCTGGGCACCCATTTGGAAAACCATCCCTCCCATCTCTCTATTTCTTATTCTAAACCCCGATTAATCCCAAATGCCTCCTGTTTACGCCACTCATCAAATATCACTCAGCGTTTTACTACAAAGCCAGAGATTCAGAAGCTATAGGATTTTGAAAGCCAAAATTTCCTTTTCACTTAGCCGCGTTCAATATCCGCACACTCCATCAGATTGGCCAACAAGCTGCCCTGGCTAAAACCTCTTGAAACATTCAATGTAGACGTATGTTGTGTCTCCGATACACACATACAAGACCCCACTTCTATTATCTCCCTGCGTTCTCCTGATCCAACCTCAACCTCACGCTTCACCCCTCATGTGTCAGGCTATTCGGCATCCGAAACTCGCGGTGTTATTGGTATCGGGATTGCGGTAAGGCTGAACGCTAGCTTATCGACTGGATTCCAGTCGGTAGCCGATTGTGCGCTATACGTCTCAACGGTTCAGTTCGAGTCAACAGTTACAGGATAAGGCGTCGATGCTTGTTCGTCGTATCGGCGTATGTACCGACCTATCGCAGTAAACCTGAAATCAAGGATGAATTCTACCAGGATCTTTCTCAACTACTCCGAAGTGCTCGATCAACGGACGTCGTAGTAGTCGCCGGGGACTTTAATGCTCAAATGGGATCCCTGGACGAATCAGAAAGGCTTCATGGCGGACCACATGCAATCCCAGCCAACCGGACGAACAACGGACATCGCCTACTTCAACTGTGCACGGACCACGGATTGTTCCTGTCAAACACGAACTTCTCGCACAAGAAACGCCATCGACCTACATGAAAACCGCCAACCTCTTCACTGCGCTGGACTCAAATCGACCACATCGCCAACAGTTACCGCTGGAGGGGGTCAATTCAAGACTGCCGCTCTTACTGGTCAACAGCTGTGGATACAGACCACGCCTTGTCACGATCCAAGTTCTCCCTACGCCTGACAAACAACCGCAAAAAAGCCGCCGACAACGGATACTCGCGATACTGTGTCAGCAATTGCTGCAAATCGTCCTTCGAAGCGGAGCTCTCGGATCGCCTGTCAGTTCAACCGCCAGCCGAAGGGCTCAATGAACACTGGAAACAAATCAAGGAAGCTATGCAGATATCGATAAAAACAACGTCGGATCCTGCCACAAGCTCAAAACACAAACGATGGATTTCGCCGACCTCAGTTGCCCTGCTGAACGCCCGCAGAACCCTTCCTCCGGATGCCACATACGACACAGCGTGGAAATCCCTTAAACACCAGCTCATCAAGAGTGTGAGGAATGACCGCGAGAAGTGGTGGGTAGAAAAGTGTAAAAAGATGGAGAAAGCCGCGGCTATTGGTAATAGTCGTAACCTGTTCCGTCTAATTAGGAATACGAGTCCTAGGAAAATAGGCGTAAGTGAGGTAATTAAGGAATTTGATGACACACTGATTCACGATCGGCAACGCCGTCCTGACCGTTGGGTTGAACACTTCAAGGCTCAGTTCAACTGGCCCCCATCGACATCTTATCTTTCACTCTCCACCTTGACTGGACAAATACTCCCAGTGGATGCTAGTAGTCCATCTGAAATGGAGGTTTCTCGGAAAATAAGTTATCTCAAAAGGCATAAGGCCTCTAGCCCAGATGGGCTGTTCCCATCAGCGTTTAAGGATGGAGGCTCAGCATTAGTCTTGGAGTTGACAAAACTCCTGGGTTCAATATGGGAAACGGAAGAGGGTATAGCTGAATGGTGTGAGTCGGTGATCATACCGATTTACAAGAAAGGTGATAGATCCTCTTTTAAAAACCATAGAGGAATTAGTTTAATCAACATCGTCTCTAAACTTCTCGCTGGCATCATACTCCGCCGATTGTCTGCCGCACGTGAACGGTGCGCGCGTGAGAACCAGGCTGGTATTAGACCCGGTCGAG